GTCCCGGTGCCGCCAAGCTTGACGAAGAGAGTCGGCAAGTTCAGCTTCATACTGACGACGATCATGTTTGAGTAGTTGTTGGAGCTCGCGCCGGCGTTTCCAATACCGGACTTGTAGTTGCCATGCGTGGAGCATATATGACTGAAACTGCAATGTACAATACTGGTGGTGCGGGGCCTCGAGCAGGACCGTGGCGTCGAATTCGTAATTCTGGATGTCGCGTTTAGCAGTCGTGAGGGCATCGATGGCACGCTGGGTTCCTGGGGGGCGTTGGTGACTCCGGGCAGCCACGGTAAAATGCGCCGATGTTTGCCAGAAGCAATCGTCCAGTACGTCCAGAACTTGGTCGGGAGTCGGAGGTAGCTCGCAAGACATATCTGTGAGGGGGAGCTGGTTACGACAAGCATCTTCCAATTGATGACAAACGGCATGGGTTCGTCTCCGATCGTGCACGCACTTCGCCAAGAGATGTCGGTCCCAACGCGCTGCTGTGGTTTTTGGCACTCCAGAATACCGCAGTCGATGTCGCACCTCACATGCCAGTGGGCGATGATCTCGTCGTCCAGGTGCTGCCATGTACTGAAGAGATTGCCCCAAGGTTTCAAGAACTTTGCACCAAGACACGCTGCCAAGTTGAGACTGGGGAACAGCGATATAATCGATTTGGGAGGCAGCAACACGGCTATAGTAGGTAGGGCCGCCGCCTTTGAAAGTGTTGACAAGTGCCAAGTGCTGCCGTTCGCAGACCCATCTAAGCTGACCTCCGTTGAAATTCTCCTTCTGAACCGTGAGGGGCCCCACCGCTGGAGTAGGTTGGTAGGCCCAGATCCCGTTTCCCATGTCGTATGTGCCGGTCCAGCCGTTGAAGTCACCAAGCAGGATTGGATAGGTGCGGTGAGGTAAGGTGCTGATGTAGTGTTCGAGCCACTTCCATATCTGACAGGCTTTTTGTCGAGCTGTGTCGCTGGTGGGCTCCACGTGCTGGTACACTGCCACAAGTGTAATATCAACGTCGCCTCGGAGAAACCGAAGAACCAGTACGCGTCCTCGGAATTCGGCTGGGACGTGCACGTGTCGGAGATGATGCTGCTGGTGGATTCGTCGGCTGATGCCAATGGCGATGCCACTGCTCCGATTGAGGGGTCGCCCATCGTGTCCAGAGTGGTAAAATATATGCTGGGATTGTGGTAGAGTCTGCACATATTCTGGACCTGCTTTCGAAGTGCCAGGAAGTACAACGAAATGGTACGACTTAAAGGCTTGACTGATAGCTTGTGGCCGGCCTGCTGCATACCAGACCTGAGGGTTGTAGGTGACGACGCGCCACGCCATGGCATGCTTAGGGGCGCGTGCTGCCTGCTGGATCAGGGGTAGGAAAGCGTCAACTAAAACAGCGCTTGCACAGCAACGTTCGATCTTGGGGATGGTGCTGCCCTGCGCGCCTTGTCTTAGAAATGACAGCTATATTTACATGCATACACACATACATACATACATACAGACAGGCAGACAGGCAGGCAGACAGACCGACAGACAGACAAACATACATACATAAAAACATACATACACGTGTATACATATATATATATATACATGTCGTAGATCCAGCAGCCTGCGGCAAGTCCCACCACCGTGCCCGCCCTGGGTGGCGACTGTTCGAGGGAGCACGGAGCACGTGAGGCCGTCAAGTGTAACACCTCGTGCCCCCCCCAGGCTTAGGTGTGGGGGTCGTGATGCTGATGATGATGATGATGCTGATGATGATAATAATGGTGGTGGTGATGATTATGGCTGATGCTGATGATGCCTGAGATGCTGATGATGCTGGTGATGCTGATGCTGATGATGGTAATGGTGATGATGATGATGATGATGATGATGATGATGATGATGATGATGATGATGATGAGACGGTGATGGTGATGAGGATGAGGAATCTGATGAGTATGCTGATGACGAAGAGGCGGATGATGAGGTTGATGATGCTTTGAATGTTCTGGATGGCGATGGTGATGTTTCCTGTTGTGGTCGTGATGCTGATGCTGATGATGGTGATGATGACGATGCTGGTGATGACTCTGATTATGATGATGATGATGATGATGATGATGATGATGATGATGATGAGGATGCTGATGCTGAGGATGCAGATCTTGATGATGATGTTGCTGATGCTTCGACTGGCTTGGACGATTATGGTGATGTTTGCTGTTGTGATGGTGATGCTGTTGTTAATGATGCTGATGATGCTGCTGCTGATGATGCTGATGCTGATGCTGTTGCTGATGACTGTGATGTTAATGATGATGCATGTGGTTTTTGCCATACATGCTGATGATTCGTATGATAGGTTGTTATGGCGATGATGCTCATGCTCCTACTGATTATCATGATAATGACGATCACGATGATGAAGATGATGATGCCGGAGATGGTGGTGATGATGTTGATCATGATGATGATGATGACGACGGTGCTGATGATGCTGATGCTGATAATGATCTCGATGCTGCTGATGATGATGCTGATGCTGATGCGGATGCTGATACTGAGGATGCTGATTATGAGGATGATGGTGCTGCTGTTGATGATGATGATGCTGATGTTGATGATGCTGAAGATGCTGATGATGATGTGATGATGATGCTGCTGATGTTGATGATGATGCTGCTGATGATGAAGATGATGATGATGAGTATCATGATGATGATGATGATGATGATGATGATGATGATGATGATGATGATGATGATGGTGATGGTGATGGTGATGCTGATGGTGAGCTGTGATGATGCTGATTCTGATGATGATGATGATGATGATGCTGATGATGATGATGATGATGATGATGCTGATGATGATGCTGATGATGATGATGATGATGATGATGATGATGATGATGATGATGGCTGTAGTGGTGGTGGTGAGGACGATGATGAGCAGAAAGATGAGGAGGAGTACGAATATGGGGATGAGGATGAGGAGAGTACGGACAGTGTGAAGCAGGAGGAGGAAGAGGAGGAGGAGAAGGAGGAGGAGGAGGACGAGGAGGAGGAGGAGGATAAGGAGGAGGAAGAGGAGGAGGGGTTGGAGCAGGAGGAGGAGAAGGACGACGAGGAGGAGGAGGAGGAGGAGGAGCAGGAGGAAGATGAGAAAGAGGACAGCCGTCACATGTTACACCATTCGTCTTATTTAGTTCAGGAGCCCTAATTGAACACGTTTAGGCCGTCTTGGGGCTGCCTTGGCCTCCTGTGAGGCAGTCTTGGGGCTCCCTGGGGGCCTTGGGCCTTTTTGGAGGCCTCTTCTTGTGGCCGTCTTGGGGCCCTCTGGGGCAGTCTTAGGCGCATCTTGGGCAGTCTTGAAGCCCCCTTCAGCTACTTGGAGCCCTCTTGCGGGCCTCTTCGGCCGTTTTTCGGGCTCTCTTGGGGGCCTTTTCGGCCGTTTCGGGGCTCTCGTGGAGACCTCCTGGGGACCTCTTGGGCCGTCTTGGGACGTCTGAAGCTCGAAAATGCGAGAACCCCAAACACATTGAACAACCTTAGGAGCATCCTTGATTCTTGCCTGTCGAGTCCCTCTTGAGAAGGCTCTCGGGGCTTTCTTGGGGCGTCTCGAAGACCTCTTGTGTCGTCTTGGGGCCACCTTGGGCCGTTCTAAGGTCACAGTGGGCTGTCTTGGAGTCATCTTAGGCCGTCTTGGAGGCATCGTGATTTCGGGAGCGCGACTTGTCGTATGTTACATGAGATTGTGGCCTCGGAGTACGATCCGCTCGTATGTTGCAAGGGGTTCCAGACAGCACTTGACATTCTAGCACGCCCCCACGTGCCAGGGGGCACGGTAGCAGAGATCCCTCTCTCGTCCCATCCTCTCCGCCTCGTCGTCTCTCCTGTCCCATGCACTTCTGCTTCAATCCCCCGTTCCCGCTTCCTCATCCCCTCCGTGACGGGCAGTTCCGCTGGGAGGGAGGAGGATGAGGGAGCGGGGGGAGGGGTAGAGGGACGGGGGCTTGGGAAGAGGAGTCGCACTTTCCAATCCGGAGGTCGCCATTCCGACGCCTTTCGACCGCGGTGCCACCAATGGGCTTGAGCAATACGAGTGGGACCAACAGAAGCAGCGTGTGATGGTGCTCCGTTCGGCTTTGTTTGCAACCCACCGCGCTGATGAGGAGAAAGGGTGATGAAGAGGTCGAGGAGGTCGAGGAGGAGGAGGAGGAGGAGGAGGAGGAGGAGGAGGAGGACGGGGAGGGAAGGAAGGGGAGGGGCTGGAGCATGAGGGGGAGGGAGAGGAAGGTCGGGGCCAGGGTGGACGGAGGGGCAGGAGGATCGGGAGGAGGGGCAGCGCACTGCCTCGATGTTTGAGGTTTCGAAGGGCCCCTTGCCATCGTCCCAACCCTTTCATCCTCGCCTTTCTTGCCATCCTCTTCCTCTCCCCACCCTGGTCCTCATCCGCATCTTACTGTAAGCCTTACGGCCGTTGCGGCCTTCAGGGTCGGGGGAGGTCCCGCCTTCAGTGTCCCCGCCCCAGGTCCCCGGGAGGGGATCCCAGCGGGATCCCCTCCCGGGACCTCGGGGCCGGGGCCACGGCTGTGGCCTGGGCCACGGCTGTGGCCTGGGCCGGGGCCGGGTCCACGGCCACGGCCATGGCCACGGCCACGGCCAGGGCCGGGGTCGGTCCGGCTGGGGCCAGGGCCGGCCCGGTCTCTGTTCGTTCCTCTCACCTTGGGACTGGCGACGACGACGAAGACGACGACAGCGTCTCACACATGCCGAAGGGTCGGCGGATATCCCCGCCTCTCCCATCGTCACTCATCCCATTTTTCGTTGCCGTCGTCGCCCTGTCCTACCCCATCCATGTTCTTGCCTTCGGTATGGCATTGCTTCATTCGGTCCCTTTGGGAGTGCAGCGCGTATGCTTCCAATGTATCTTTCGCAAGGCATCGCACGCCGATTTCTTATCACCTTCCGTTGTGCATCGACCAGTCGCGGTTACCCGAGGTTTCGCAGCCGTTTTGGCTCAAGGGGTCTGGCTCGAGCCGTCTTTGGGTTCCAGCGGTCTCGGGTCGGGACCCCCGTGCGCGCAAGGCCCCTTCCCTCAGGAGGCGCTTCGCCTCCTGCACGATGATCCGCCTGGCGATCGCGACGGTCGCCCTACTGCTCGGTGAGCGCGGTTGCGCGTTCCTCGACGACTTGTTCGAGTACGAGTCCACCACTGTCGTCGGCGAGCGCCGCCTGGAGACCACCACCAGCGAGGACCCCGAGATACCAGTCCCCAGCGAATATATACATATATCGCCCGGTTGCGTCTGATGCGCTAACATTACACAGCATTCAAGCAAACGTGTTGACGATTGCAAGTCGTTGTGCGACGCGGATGTCGAATGCCTGGCATTCGAATGCTTTGCTGACCATGGCGGCAGCTACAATTCGTATCAGCCAGGAGATTGCCAGTTGAACGATGACACTACGATTGATACAAACTGTGGGGAAGCTACAATTGGGATGCGTACGTCCAAGTGAGGGCACCGACACCAGCTCCGCCGCCGACGCCCGCACCTACGCTGGATTGCGTTGGTGTCCACAAGGGTTGGCTTGAGAGTACTTGGTGGTACGATTGTAACCAGTATTTCAAGTCCGGGTGGCGCACGATATCCAGTGGCCATGGGATCGGATGGGACCCCTCGCGGATTACATTTGTGACGTTTTTTTCAAACGGAAGGCGCGACGCATCGACGGCGTGCTGCGCTTGTGGCGCCATCAACTGGACACGCCAGCCAACGCTGTGGGCATCGACTTGCGGCGACAGCCAGCGCGCGAGACGACGGCGAGGGGGCGACGGGCGGCGGCCCAGGCGAAAGTCCGGATACGCCTGCTGGCGCACGAGGTAAGCTGGCGGCGGTCGACCGGGCAAAAGTCACGAGGGAGTGCTGGTCAGAGTACGGGGCGTCGACGGCGCCGACGAGGCGAAAAACCCAGAAATGCCCGCCACATGCTCATGTCGCGGGCGATTGCTCTCCCCCAGCCCTCACCTTTCTCCCCAATCAGTGCTTGCACTGAAGGGGTCCTAGCGGATCTTGAAGGATTTGGCGAAAGTTGGCGGCCGATTCCTTGCGAGACCAATCATTTAATCTTTTCCACCTGTTGCCGCCATTGCCGTTCACTATCGTCAAATACAGTTTGCTACCATATCACCTATCCGATGAGGAGGAGGAGGAAGAGGAGGAGGAGGAGGAGGAGGACGGGGAGGGGGAGTAGGAGGAGGAGGAGTAGGAGGAAGTCTCATAATAATAAGAAGTATAATCATATTAATCATAAGACAGAAAAGAAGAAGAGGAGGAGGAGCCGAAGGACGAGGAGGAGGAGGAGGACCATACTATCGCGCACAAGCAAACACGCGCGCTAACCTTTCGCGCCCCTCGCCTCCGAGGCTCCGCGCTTCTCCCCTGCTCTCCCCCCCCGCCTCTTTTTTTCGCGTGTCCCCTGCTCCATGCAAGGGGGGGCCCAATGCCAAGAAACACCTTGCTCTCCTCCTCCTCCTCTTGTTCCTCCTCCTCCCCTTCGTCCTCCTCCTCCTCCCTTTCCTCCTCCTCCTCTTTTTCCTCCCCCTCCTCGTCCTCCTCATTCTCCTCCTCATTCTCCTCCCCTTCCTCCTCCTCCTCGTCCTCCTCCTCCTCCTCCTCCTCCTCCTCCTCCTCATCCTTACCCTCGTCGTTCCGAATGCAGACCCAGCCGAAGCGAGTCGCGAGTCGCGACTGCCTCTTACGCGCTGTAAGAGCCCAGCCACCGACTCGCGTTGACGTGCCCGCGTGTCAGCGCGGCTTGCGACGCGCGCTTGGAAGGTCCAGGCGGTCAGAACTACCGCGGCCGCGTCGGTCGCGCCAGGCTAGCTGGCCGCTCTGCGCGCGAGCCTGCGCGCGTTGGCGCGGCCGCAGCGGCGTGCCAGCTAGCGCCCAGCCGTCATCGCAATCGTCGCCGCATGGGTTTTGCAAACCGATTTGCGGGTTGGCGGGCGCGGCGATTGCGGCGATTGCGCGAGCAGTGGAATTGCGTTTTTTTTTTTTTTTGCCGAAGGAGAGATACCCTCCCTCCACCCGCCCCTCCCCTTCCCCTCCCCCCCCAGGGATTATCGCGTCCTCGCAATGTGCACATGGTTCTGCCCCATCGTCCATCTTAAATATGCATTTGCACCATCCCAGCCGAGCCCGCGCCCCCCCCCGCACACTGTGCAACACATGCGATGCGCGCGCTCATTCATCAAAAGTCATCAGTTCTCTTCTCAGGAATCCCTTGCGACAGATGCAGCGAAGTGCACGCGCGCGCCGTGGCGCGCGCTTGCCGACATCCTTCAAAAAACGTGGCTTTCGAAAGGGTTTCAACACCGAGTGTCCAAACCAGAGAAAACAAACGCCAGGCTTCGCAACGCGCGTGCTCTTGCGATTATTGTTGAAACTCCTACCAACATTGTTTGAACATGATACCAAACGGGCCTCGCGCGCGCATCTCGAAATCGCTCGAACGCCCCTGCGCGCGCGCCGTCGCGATAATATTTTGCAACAGATGGAGCGAAGTGCGCGCGCGCGTCGTCGCCCTCGCGCGCAGAAATCCGCCATCGACCTTCGGTTTGAAAGCGATTTCAAAACCGAGCGTCCAGGACGCAGGCAAAAACAAATTTCTTCGCAACGTCAGTCTTCAAACACGCGTGCGCTCGCGCTCTTGCGACTTCTTAAGAAACCATCGGTTGTCCAACATTTGCATGACATTCTGCCGGGCGGGCCTTTGGCGCCGCGTGCCGGAATCAATCGCGCGCCTTCGCGCGCGCGCCAGGGGGGCGTGGGGGGGGGGCGCGACCCGCGTCAAATAGTGCCACGCGGGCCCTTCGCGCGTCGGCCGCGCGCGCGCGTCGAACTCTATCCGAGACCTTCATTGCCGACGCACGGGCGCCGTCATTGACGTCGGCGCGAACGGCATCTGCGCCGTCACTGGCCGCGCCGTCGTCGCTGTCAGCATCGTCGCCAGCATCGCGATTATCATCGGCGCGTCTACTTGTCGACGTTGCCATGGTACCGCGCACGCCCAAGTCGCCGACGCGGACTGAAGTGCCCGCTGGGATGCGCCCCGGTCGCGCCAACGCGGCCGGCCGCCGCGCGCGCAGAGATGCGCCGGCCAGCGCCGAGCACTCATCGCAATCGCCGCCGCGTGGGATTTCCAAACCGAGTTGCGGGTGGTTTGGTGGGATGTTAGCGCGAGCAGTGGACTGGGCAATTCCGCGTTGGGCATTGGTGGGTTCCACCGCGGAGACACTGCCGGTAGCGCAGCGTGCATCGCGCGCGACACAATGCGCGACAGAGATTGCGCGCAACATAGATTCTACAGGCTTGCACCGCATCTACCGACCCCTTGACTGAGGCCGGGGCCCGATGAAGAGGCATTCTGGCAGTTCGGGGTGTTATTCTGGCCTCTCTTCTTCGGGCTTTGTTTGCGGGGCCGTTGTCGGTCGTCTGGGGTTGTCCCGGGGCGTCTTTGAGCCAATATTTGAAGGCTCTCTGGGCGAGTGGGGTCGCTGGGGGCTCGCGAGGGCGACGTGGGCTACTTCGTGGACGTACTCTGCGAACGTCATCGGGGCCACAGCTACGTCGCAGAAGGATCGCAGGGAACAGTTTGGGCCGGGCGTGGGGCGGGCGCGCGGCGTCGACTTCCAGGCTGTAGCCCTGGAAGCGAAGAGCGCGTCATCGCTGGGTGGGGGCATTATCCGCGGCGCGCGCGGCATGGGCGCGAACCGCGCGAAGGGGCAGAACTCCGAAGATAATGGGGGCGCATGTCCGAAGAGGACGATTCACACATAGAGACTGCTCGGGGGATGTGGCAGTGGAAGTGGCTGATCATAGACGAGATCAGCATGGCAAGCGTGAACTTTTTGGCCGCGCTGGATTCGCGCTCGCGGTCGCGCGCGTCGGCGGCGAGCGCGACGGGGGTCGGGGCGGGCGGCGTGGTCGGGCCGGTCGGGGGCTCGGCGCGTTGCTCTGCGGAGACTTCTGCCAGCTTGGGTCGCCGCCCAGAACGGAGATCAACGCCGCGCTCGCGTCGCGCCCGAAGAATGCGAGGCAGAGCGCGCCCAGGGCCGCGGGGGGCCACGGCCAGCGCGTCTTCTGGGGGGCCAGAGGCGAAGGGGCAGCGTAGGGGATGAGTGTAGACAGAGTGCAAGCGCGCAGGCGATCAGGGAGCGCGGTCCCTGTGCGTGCGAGACGCACGTGGGCGAGGGGCGCTGGCTGAACGTGCGCGCAACGCCCTGCGTGGCAGACCAACAGACGCGCTGGGTTCGCGGGTGAACGGCGCCACGCGGCGCGGCGTCGCTCGTTGTCGAGTAAACGCATCGGCAATTTCCCAAAATGACGAGCTGGAGTGCGCGGCGCGCAAAGGAGGGCGAAAGTTGCGGCGTCGCCGGACGACGCGCGATTTCGGGGGGATTTGTCGAAGCCGTTGCATTTTGCTCAGAGCAGCAGGATGCTCGGCACCGCGTCGGGAAGCAGCGGGCCGCGCAGTGGGCGCTGGAGCGACGAGAGCAGGCGCTCTGGGTCGCACCGCGAGATCGCCCGCGTCAGGGAGGGGAAGAGGGGCGGCCGCGCACGTTGGAGGACAAAATACGGTGGCCGGGGTTCCACGGCAAGGAGTGCGCGAGCTTGCCAAGGCGACCCCCGCTCGCGAAGAGCGCGCCAATTGCTTCGGGGGGCCGCCTCGACCGGGCGAGAACCAGCTTCCGCGGGGCCGCGCAGCGACGTTTCGTGGGCGGGCGCTTCGCGAGCGAGGACGAGGTCGCGGTGGGTGAAGAAGAAGAAGAAGAGGTATTGTTGCATTTGCCAAGAGTAATCGTCTCAGATTGTCATGCGAAGGAGTGGCGCATCCCGGGCCGGGGGCCGGGGCCGCGTCCAATCGCCCTGTCGAAAGGGCGCCGGCGGCGCGAGAGCGGGGGTCGGAGGCGTCCAGCGTTGAGTGTCGTGCGCGCGCTACCGCGATCGCGCCGTCGTTGGCAGTGACGGCGCGCGCCGCGCCAGGGCGGACTACGGGCGTAGTGGCAGCGGGCCTTGGTAGAGGGCGTGGCGTTCTTCGCGGCCGTCACGCACGCGCGATGGCGCGAGAACTGACTGATTTCCCGACCCGTCGACGGAGCTGCGCGGCGAAGGCGGGGTGTCAGGCGCGAAAAAGCCGTTGCCGGTTTCCCCGACGGGGAAGCTTGAACTGGGGGGGGTGGGGGGCGCAGTCGACGCCCCGAGACGGGCGCGAGCGGCGCTGGCGAGGGCACGAATTCCAGGGGAAGGAGAGGCCAGCGTTTTGCAAAGAATGCGCTGCGGAAGTGCGATGCGTGGGCGACATGTCGCGCACAACGTGCAGAGCATGGGCCACGAAAGCTGAGCGCGACGGACCCGCGCGGCACGGTGGCGACCGGGGCGATGCGGAAACTGGCAGCGCGGAGGGGCCGAAAGCTATTCGGACCATGTGTTGCGTGAAATGCAACAATGCACGCAGTGAGTTGCACGACATACATTGCACACGACGTAGAGTGCACAGCGTAGATTGCGTAACTTAGACTGCACAGCACATGCTACTAGAACGCACTGTTTGGGGCCCGCGTTGGCCAACATTTGGTCGTGTCTTTTTTTGGTTTGGGCCGTTTTCAATTGTTGTTTTTCGTAGTTTAACGTTTTTTGTTATGCCGACGTGGCGCGCCGCTCCCCATGGCACGCGGGGCCCCTGCGCCCTCGCGAGGCCCTCGCGCGCGCCCCTGCCCCGTCGCGTTGCCCCGGCTCTGTGGGCGCTTCAGGTTTTGGCCCCAAGATCCCTTGGGGGCCCGGGAAGAAGAACGCCGGCTGCATGATGTTTCGCTGATTCGGGCGAATGCGTGTCTGATGCATTACCGTCCCCTCCGTGCTCCCCTCCGTGCTTTTCGCGCACAATGCTTTTCGCGCGCAGTGAAACCGTCATGCTGGACGGATGTGTCGCGCCGCGCCTACGCGCTCCGCTCCGCTCCGTTTCTCCTCGGGCAGTTCGTGCGCCGCCCAAGGCTTCTACCTGGTCGCCGGTCGCTGGTCGCTCGGAGTCCCCCGGCTGGTGCGGTCACCACACCGCCGGGCTGAGTCGGTGGGAGTTTCGGACGTTCTCGTCGTTTCTCGGGGGATTCCATCCTCGGGATGTTTTCCAGGAGCCGCACCTCGCCGGGGACGCTTTGGGGGCCCCCTGGTCGTCCCGGGCTCGGCGGCGACGATGGCAGCGAATAGCCCAGTGGCGGGCATTCCACGCATTCGCCCAGTAGCTTTTTCGAAGACGTGGATCATCGGCGCACCTGGGTGATTGCTCGTGTCTGGGCCATTCCCCCCCATCGTCGCCTCTGACGAACGGCCGCCCGAGACCCGAGCGATGGGCCGGAAGCCAAGCGTTCGGAGTTTGGCTGGTGGGGTCGGTGAAGGCTCGGGGTTTTCGGGCGTCTGCGCTGTGGGTGCGCGAGGCCCCCATGCGTGCGCAAGGAGGACGCCCCTCGGCATCGTGCAGCTCGTGCCTCCTGGGAGCACGAGGAGGACGGAGAGAAGCGGGGCGAGAGAAGCGGCAGGCGCACGTTGAACTGAGACATGGAGGGCAGTGATGGGCGACGTCCAGAGCGCTGATGTCTCGCAGAGGTCTTGCACGGCCCTCTTCCAAGACATCAAAATACAGTCTGCTCTGAGTCTGCGCCGCCCAGGGTCTTCCGGCTCCTCTTCTGCTCGAGCTGTCTCTCGGCCCCGTCACGCTCGCTCCAGCCCGCTCGGGCGCGACGCCCTGGCGCGCCCCATCCTCTGCGCTGGGGGCTGGCCACAACTGGCGCCTGCCAGGCCAGCCGCATCTGGGGGAGCTGTGGTCCTTACCCCCCCGGGGGACCCATCGACTTCGACGCCCCTTTCCAGAGATCGTCGACGCGATGGGTTCCCCAAGGGGGGTAAGGACCACAGCTCCCCCAGCTATGGCTGGTCGGTATGCCATGCCGACCGCGGCGGACACGAGAGGCCCCGCCCCCCCCCCGGGCAGCGCCGCCGCCCGCGAGGCCGGGCCCGCTGGCGCCGCGGGGGCGCGCGGCGCCGCCGTGGGGAGGCCCGCGCCGGAGCCGCGGCCCGGCGCGCGCGGGCCGCGCGGGGCGGGCGCCTCGGTGCCCCCGAGGTACGAGGCCCTGCACGTGCTCGGCTCCGGGGCCTTCGGGACGGTCTTCATCAGGGGGGACAAAGAGTGGCACAAACAGAAAGATCTCGGCGGTCCGCGCGGATTTGTCGGATCGGCGCTGGGGCCCCCTCCCTGGCGCGCGGAGCCCGCCAGGGGCGGCGCCGGAGGCGCCGCCGGGGGGCCCCGGCGCCGATCCGAGAAATCCGCGCGGACCTCCGAGTTTTTATGTTCATGCCAATTTTTGTTCCCCTATTCATGGCGAGGGACCGCGAGACCAGCGGCCAGGTGGCGCTCAAGCGATTGAAGGTCAGCGCTGGTCAGGACGGCGTGCCCGCGAGCGTCTTCCGCGAGGTCTCGCTGCTGCGCGATCTCGTCCACCCGAACATCGTGCAGCTCAAGGATCTGCAGATCGTCGGCCTCAACGGGGTCGAGCTGATCTTCGAGTGCATCAAGGACGACCTGCACCAGGTTTTGAAGGGCCACTGGAGGGAGGGCACCCAGCTGCCCATGGAGAAGGTCGTGCGGTATTCACAAGATCTCCTCCACGGAATCCACGCGTGCCACGTGCGCATGGTGATCCATCGTGACCTCAAGCCGCAGAACGTCCTCATCCACCCCGTGGACGGCCTCAAGATCTGCGACTTTGGCATGGCCCGCCTCGCCTCGCTCACCGTCACGAGCTACACCCGGGAGGTCGTCACCCTGTGGTATCGTGGCCCAGAGTTGCTGCTGGGGCATCCCACCTACGACCTGCCGGTGGACATGTGGTCTGCGGGGTGCATCCTTGCCGAGATCGCCACTGCCCAGAGGGTCTTGGTTGCTGCTTCTTGGCTTCTGTTGCGCGTTTGCCAAGATGCTGCGCAGTTGCTAGGATGCTGCAGTCAAGCCGCATTTCCTAGCAACCCAACACTGCGTTGAATTGCATTGCCATGTGTTGCACATCTATACACCAATATTAGTTACACGCGCGAACTTTCATCAACAGATTAAAGAACAGAAGACAACAACAAAAAAACAATGACACCAACGCGGCACACCACCACCAAACAAACAACGGACACATAATGCGCCACAGCCTGTGCGATGGGCAGGCGGATTTGACATGCGTGCACCGAAGAAAAAGCAACAACGCATGAACAGACAAAGACCCCATGGAAGAAACAGTGCCGAAGTAGTTCGTAGAGAAAAAGGAGGGCGAGCAAAGAGGAGGAGGAGGAGGAGGAGGAGGAGGAGGAGGAGGAGGAAGAGAAAAGCAATGAGGTAGGCGAGCTTCTTTTTTTCTAGTAAAGACGAACTCACGGAATCCAGGGGATGTGGGCCAAACCTGGGACGTGGCCTTATCATCTTTGGGATCGGAGCCCTTGAAGACGTCTTTGGTTGCTCGTGTTGGTCCTCTCTTTGCTGCCCTTCCGTTTACAGCCGTTCGGGCCCAAGTGTTGTATTGAAGCGGCGATACGCACTCCTCTTTTTTTTCAGGGTTTCTTCAGCGATGGGGAAGGAACCGAAGGTTGGCAAGCATCGGGGCAGGGCTTTCGACTGGGAGTTGATAGCAACCACACTTGAGCCGTTTGTAACCGTTCCTGAGTTCCTCGAGTATGGAAACAAAATGTCCGAGTCTCCGATGCAGACTGAGAATGCAGCAGCGCCGGGACATGCTCAAGGCATTGGCGAAGGTTGAGGGGCAGAAACCCATGACACCACAAGGAAACAAGTCAAGAAATCAATCTTGTTGTTGGTCTTGGGTTTTGTGAGTTGGGCTGTCTGTAAATCGACAGGGGTGGCGTGAGGGGGTAGTCTGGCTCGCGCCAGCCAGGTCCACAACAACTTGTCCTACACCCAGAAAACGATGCAGGCCGCTCTCACGGGCATTGCGAGCAATGTCAAGGGCCTGGCCAAGAAGGATCACGAGAGTTGGTCAGAGGAGATGGCCAAGCGTGTACGTACACTGTGCAGGCGCAGCGGCCCTCCACCATCACACAGCGGGCCATGCAATGCAACGCAATTGGCTACAACAGCAACTGGGCCCTTCGGACATCCTGAGATACATCGCAACCACATGGATGCGTTCGTTTGTATGTTGACCCTTACAGGCACACGGCCAACTACGGCTACAAGTCCAAGCCACCGCAGTGGTTCGTCGATCTCGGCATCTACGAGGACGTCGAGGACAGCGGCGACTCCGACGACGGCACTCCCCCCCAGGAAGATGAGGCGGTCAAGCCTAAACGTCTTCGGTGCAAGACACCTCCTGAGGATGACGGTCCACACGATGATGCTGCTTCAGGTTCTTTGGGAGGCGCACCAGATGAGGATAAGGTCGATGTCGATGGCAAGGCCGACGCCGAGATGTCGTACGAGTACGGGTTCGACAGGGAGCTGCAGATCGTGTGGCGCAGGATTCCTAAGAAGAAGGGTGCGAAGCCTTCTGCGCTCGACATCGCATCTAACATGATCATTCCTGACAAGGCTCGGAGGACCGACGCGATGATAGCGGAGTGGGAAGACGGGTCACGAAAGGAAATGCCTCAAGTCACAGTGGGACTATGGAGGAATATGCAAAGTGACAGTCTTTCGGATTCGAGTGCCAGCAAGGAGGTCGACAAGGCTGCGCCTGCCGAGAAGCCTGAGGATATGAGCAAGAAGGTCGACAAGGCCGAGCCTGCCGAGAAGCCTGAGGAGACGCCCGCCAGCCAGAAAGCCAAGCGGAAGTCAGAGGATAACAACGGCGAGGAGGACGACGACAGCGTGAAAGTGCCTGAGCCTAAGAAGAAACGCTGGACTGCTCCACACTTCAAGGACCCAGACGGCAGAGACGTGACTGTCAAGTTCCGCAACGATGGGCCAGCTGGTGGGACCAAGAAGAAGCTGTGCGTTGTCCAGGTTCAGGGGGCTACATTCCTCACGGTCGACGTGAAGTACTGGGGCGAGCCGTTCAGCGAGCAGGCGCAGACCAAGTGCGCCGACTTCATGATCACGCAGGCGAAGTTCGTGGCCGAGGGCGGTTACACGAAGGAGGAGGCAGAACAGGCGAAGGCCGATGTCTACGAGACTTTGAAGGTGGCGGCCCACATGCGAGATCTGGAGGACAAGTCCGCGGCCATGCCGATCGAGAACCAAGGGCGCGCTCACCGCACCACGGGCGCGAGGAGCAAGCAGACGGTCGATATCGACAAAACCGTCATCGAGGAGCACGGCGTCCCGAAGCCCGTCAGCAAGCCCAAGGCCAAGCCCAAGGGCAAGGTCAGCGTCGAGGGGGGCGCCGACGGGGGCAAGAGCGACCTGGCCAGCAGCTCCAACGCGTCTTCTGCCGCCACCACGGGCACGCAGCAGCTCGCGCCGAGCACCCCCCTGGAGAAGATCAGGACGACCCCTGCGACTCCGCAGGCGTCCGAGGTTGCGGCGGCGGCAGGGGAGATTAGCCCCCCGCACTTCTCAGATTCCGAGTAGGTGTGGGGATAGACATCGGGGCTCAGGACGATAAAACTCTGAAAAAAAAACAATGGCACCGCACTTGAGGACTACAGCTTGAGAAGGATGAGGATGAGGGTGACGAGGATGAGGATACTGAGGATGAAGATGAGGCGGGGAGGTGAGGACGAGAAACGAATGGCATTAACTGTAAAGCCCTGCTGTAACGATCAGGGGGGCTAGCGAGGCCGTTCATGAATACGACCCGTGATTCGGCTACCCTCCCCCGACCAGCTTGTTATCGGTGTCGGTTCCAAGGTCATCAAATGTAGTCTGAGGGGGCGTCAACCACAAACCAACCACCACCACCCCGCCTGGAAGACGTTCAACTGATTTTCGATCGTAACCCCTCTGATTTCAAAAAGCACACGGGGGGGAGAACCGATCTGTTTCTCACGATTCCACCGTGACCTTGCTAGTAGCATCATTTGGCCCCCTCTTTCTCTTCTCGCTCTTCCTATTCCTCCTCCCCTCCCGCTCCCATTCCACCTCCTTCGATCCTCCTCCTCCTCCTCCTCCTCCTCCTCCCTCTCCTCCTCCCCCTTCCTCCTTCCCCTCCTCCTGCTCCCTCGCGCGCCGTCTGGGATGCCACTCGTTATCTTCGCTATTCCGTAGCCCCTGTAGACTCGAGGATTCAAGGGTACCGAGTCCCCGAGTCCTGACACAAGGATGGCGATGCGCAAGTCTGAGCTCGCCGCCTTCGGCGATGAGGACGCCTTGCGAAACGCTTAACCCACATCCACCCTGCATGCCTATAGTATCAGTTGTATGTTCGGCCCCCATGCCTCCCCCCAATCCCCCTTCCCCCCTCTCCGCACGGGGGGGGGGGGCGGTGGGGCAGAGAATCCAGAGGAGGCGGATGGCGAGGGGGAGGCGGAGGAAGAGGAGGAGGAGCAGCAGTCGCACCAGCATTTGCAGCAGAAGGATGGCAGGAGGAGGAGGCGGAGAAGGATCACGAGCCGACTACGAAGATATTGAAGACGAGGAGGAGGGCGAGGAGGCACGGGAGGAGGAGGAGGAGGAGGAGGAGGAGGAGGATGAGGAGAAGGAGGAAGAGGAGGAGCAGGAGCAGGAGGAGAAAGATGAGGAGGAGCAAGGAGGATGCGAACTCGGCTGCCCCTACAGGAGTGCCCTCGCAGTGGTGCTCGCCTTGCTGCCGCGCAGCCCTTGCAGAACACGCTGACTGCGTGCATAGCTCAGCGCCCTCGCTGGGGCCGTCGCAGCTTCTCTCCGTTGCCCGCGAACGAGCCCAACACTCAGGATGCTGCAGGTGCAACTCTCGAGGAGCAGCAGATTGAGGCGGGTCACACGCTGCCCGGGAATGACGACGTCGCAGCCGAGTTCGCACGTGGTGGCGATTATATCTTTGATACGCGTCATGGTTACATTCGTGCAGATGCGCTGGTACCAGCTGGCACGCAGCCCCAGGATGTCACGATCGAGGTGCAGGACTCGCCGCCGCAGGACGCCGCGCTCGCGTCCCAGGAGCCTCAGCCGCTGCAGCAGGCCAGCCTTGACGATTCGCAGCGGTTGGGCTTGCAGCTTGTGGGGGCATCGGCACAAGGCTTGCGGCTCGGAGCAGAGTTGGCAGCTGGCACTGGTGGTACTGATGACTTGGAGGTCATGCTGGAGAGCATGGTATCGGGCTCAGGCGCGTCGCCGGGCGCGGGCCCAGAGGCCTTGCCAAGCGCGGCCACGGACGGCACCGAGAACATGGACGAGGTGTTGGTCAAGGCGTTCCTGGAGTCGGGCCTGGCGGAGGCCGAACCCGAGGTGCAGGAGCAGGACATCCCGCCCCACATCCTGAAGGAGCTCGAGGACACCTACGACCCGAACCTGGAGGCCGCCGTCAAGCCAGGCGGCAAGACGGACGCCAACTCGCCGCTGGGGAAGCGGTACAGACTGTGCCTCGGGAAAGGAAGGGGGGAGGAGGATGAGGATGACGAGGTGGAGGAGGAGGTGGAGGAGGAGAAGGAGGAGCAGGAGGAGGAGGAGGAGGTCTCCCTCCTCCAACTCCTTCTCCTCCCCCACCTCCTCATCTTCCTCCTCCTCCTCCTGTTCCAGCTCCTCCTCCTCCTCCTCGATCCTGCTCCCTCCTACCCCTCCTCGGCGTCTAATGACTGCTGGTTCCGCTGCTGCTGCTCCTCCTCCTGCTCCTCATCTCTCTCTCTCTCTCTCTCTCTCTCTCTCTCTCTCTCTCTCTCTCTCTCTCTCTCTCTCTCTCTCTCTCTCTCTCTCTCTCTCTCTCTCTCTCTCTCTCTCTCTCTCTCTCTCTCTCTCTCTCTCTCTCTCTCTCTCTCTCTCTCACTCTCTCTCTCTCTCTCTCTCTCTCTCTCTCTCTCTCTCCTCTCTCTCTCTCTTCTCTCTCTCTCTCTCTCTCTCTCTCTCTCTCTCTCTCTCTCTCTCTCTCTCTCTCTCTCTCTCTCTCTCTCTCTCTCTCTCTCTCTCTCTCTCTCTCTCTCTCTCTCTCTCTCTCTCTCTCTCTCTCTCTCTCTCTCTCTCTCTCTCTCTCTCTCTCTCTCTCTCTCTCTCTCTCTCTCTCTCTCTCTCTCTCTCTCTCTCTCTCTCTCTCTCTCTCTCTCTCTCTCTCTCTCTCCGACTGCTCTACTACTGTAACCTCTGCCCCGAACGTCGTGGATTTCGAAATCTGCTTGAGCCCTGCAATCCCCTCAGCCCTCTCCCTCTCTCTGCTCTCTCTCTCTCTCTCTCTCTCTCTCTCTCTCTCTCTCTCTCTCTCTCTCTCTCTCTCTCTCTCTCTCTCTCTCTCTCTCTCTCTCCCTCAACCCTCTCCCCTCAACCCTATCCCCTCGCCGTTCCCCCAGGTACTTGGCCAAGAAGCTTGAGGAGAAGGCCAAGTACGACGCGGCCACGAAGACCGAGAAGGGTGACATGTGCAGGAGGTGGATCTTCGATAAGTTCCAGAAGTACAAGGACCGCGCGGGGGGGCAATGTTAGTTCAGAACCTTTGAGGCTCCAGGGACCTGGCTCGGCTTCAGAACCTTTGAGGCTCCAGAACCTTTGAGGCCCCAGGGGAGGAGGAGGAGGAGGAGGAGGAGGAGGAGGAGGAGGAAGCGGAGGAGGAGGAGGAGGCGGAAGGGGGTGAGGAGGAGGGGGGGGAGGAGGAGGAGGAGGAGGAGGAGGAGGAGGAGGAGGAGGAGGAGGAGGAGGTCGAGGAGGACGAGGGGGCGGCGGAGGGGATCATGAGGGAGTGGGAGGACGTGGGACGAAGGAGAGGAGAATGAGTTTTTTGATGCGTAAGTAGCACGGTCAAGCACACGCTGAAAAGCTGCCTATGTTCAGGAGGACCGCCAGAAGCTGGTCGAGTCGGTCCAGGAGGACATTGAGGAAGGTGAGTGGCTCAACATCGACGCCATCGTGGCGGCAGAAGGCGGACACCACAGCGTGGCAGTCCGCCGAGGCAGTCTCAACATAGCGTTGGACTGCATCAGGAAGGGGAAGAAGCACGTGCGCAGGAACAGGCGCTCCAAGAGGTTGGAGTTCCGGTACCAGCGCGACAAGGACAGGAAGGCGTTCCGCAAGACCTGGCAGTGCCGCCAGCGTCAGGACACCAGGGTTCAGCATCAAGCTCATTGAACACTTCTGGTCCCCCCCCCACCCCCCGACCCCTTCCTATGAGAGAGTGTGGAAGGGGGGAGGACCAGAAGTGTTCAAAGAATCCCACCAGACCTCTGGACTCTCTGCCCTTCTTCCCCTTCGGGGAGGGGTTCACCCCTCCCCCTAACCCCCTCCCCTGGACCTGGACGTGGGGGTTTCGCTGGTAGTTGGGAGCGTCCGAGGCCCTCTTGGAGCCACCTTGCAAGGTGGCTCCAAGAGGGCCTCGGAGAGCCCAAGATGACATCCAAGATGGCTCAAGACTGCCCAAGACGCCTCAAGATGGCCCCGAGGATGCTCCAAAAGGCCCCAAGACCGCCCCAAGACGACTCCAATTGGCCACGTAGCCTCCCAAGGAGGCCCCCCAAGAGGGGCTCCAAAACCTTAGGGAAATCAATGTGTTTTGCTTTCTCGTCTTTTCGCTTCCGACGGCCATTCTAGGCCTCAAGATGGTTCCAAGAGGGCCCAATAGGGCCCCAAGAGGGGCCCAAGATGGCCCCAAGACGGCCCTAAGAGCGCCCAAGAGCGCTCCAAGAGCGTCCCAAGAGGGGTCCAAGGGGCGATTTTAGAGGCTCCCGAGGGGGGACGCTAATTGGGGGACCCCTTTCCTTTGATCGATCACCTCCAAGATGGCCCCAAGAGCGCCCCCAAGGCTCCCAAGAGCGCCCCAAGAGGGCCTCACGAGGCGCCCAGGAGGCCCCAAGAGGTCCCCAAGAGGCCCTCAAGAGGCTCCCTAGACCCCCAAGAGGCCTCAAGAGGATCCCCGAGGCATCCAAGAATCCCCCAGGCGCTCCAAGAGGACTCCAAAACAACTTACAAGGGACATCCTAGGAGGCTCTTGTGCACGTAATTGCTCTTGTTCCTTCTCATATTTCTCCTCATCCTCCTACTTCTCCTTCTCCTCCTTGTCGGCCTACTCCTCCTCCTTCTCCTCCACTTTATCAGCCTCATCCTCCTCCTCCTTTCCTCTTCTCTTCCCCCGCCTCCTCATCCTCCTCATCCCCCCCCCTCCTCCTCATCATCCGCCTATTCCCCCTCCTCCCTCCTCCCACTTTTCCCACCTGCTGCCCCTCCTCCCCCTCCTCCTCCTCCTCCTCCTCCTCATCCTCCTCCGACTCCTCCTCCATCCTCGCCCTCTTGGGCAAGACGGGTCCCCCAAGCCCTTTGCTACTCTGTATGCTCCCTCACTTCCCTGATCACCGCAATTCGCCTAGGCATAGTTTTTGGATGGGCTGGTGGGGAGACGCGAAGCGTCAAGAATTTGACCCAGCAGGAGCATGCCGACGAGTCTGCAGCATCGGCAAGTGCTGGCAGCGCTTCTTCTGGCACTCCTCAGATCCACACTCCATCTACAGCACCGCCGACCCAGCCCGCGGAGACGCCAGACAAGACATCCAAGGAGGACGCTCCTGCAACCTCTGCAGGGGTGTCGCCGTCGCCAGAGGGCAAGTCCGATGCGCCAGAGGCTGCGGCCGAGGAGAACGGCTGGACAGCAGCATCGGCGGCGGCGACTCCGACGTCTCCCGCGGCTGTCCCCAAGCTGAAGGCGAAGGGCCAGCCGAAGGGCCAGCCGAAGGGCAAGGCGAAGGGCAATGCGAAGGGCAAGGCCCAGGCCGTCAGGGGCGGGAAGGTCGTCGACCTCACCTTGAAGAGCGTGAACGCGAAGGTGGTGGACACGGCGAGGCTCTGCGGCGCTTCGTTGACCCAGGCGCAGCGCTCCGAACAACAATCCAAACCGCCATCCTGCGTTCCCCCATCCTGCTCTTCCCTGTCCACCTTGAGTGGTGAAGAGCTGGAGGAGGCGGGCGTCGGTCTGGAGGTCTGGCTTGAAGCTCGGGCCTGAATAGGCACGCTCGCTGCTGCAGAAGATCGAACAGAACGAGGGCGACGAATGCAAGATGTTCAAGGACAACGAGAAGTTTGATGGCGCCTTGAAGCGGTGCCGCGACGCTTTGTCCGTGAAGCTGAACAAGAAGCCAGGCTGGTCCGAGGCGGTGTTCGACGGGGCCGATTTCAGCCTGGACTCGTCTTCCGACCTCGCCGCGATCTCCGCCACGTGCGAGAACTTTCAGGCTGACTGCGAGGAGATCCAGCGGAAGTGCAAGAAGATCCGCAGCCTGCGCGAGCTGCAGAACGACAGCGAGGGGAACGCCAGCGAGTAGATAGGCTTGACAAGCAGGGGCTGCACTTTTGCTGCACCGCTGCCGCAGCTGATCGGAGGGAGGACGATAATGAGGATGAGGATGAGGAGGATGAGGAGGAGGAGGAGGAGGAGGAGGAGGAGGAGGAGTAGGAGGAGGAGGAGGAGGCGTAGGAGGAGGAGGATGAGGAGGAGGAGGAGCAGGAGGAGTGAAGGAGGAGGGAGGGACTCAGGATTTGATAGTCACGACTGCTGGCGGCTTGGGTGCTCGCGTGCTTCTCTTAACCTACGAGAGATCACTCTCGCCAAGGGTGCGCTGGGAAGCTCAGCGCTGACGAGGCAAATTAGGGGTTGCCTCAGGGCGCTGGATGCAGCGCGACGGCTGTTTCATGATCTCGGAAATGCGTAGAGTGCTCTCTGTCCGCCAAGAACGCTTCAAACGCCTTCAAGACCCCTTAAGCAGCCCCACAAGAGCCCCAAGCTCTCTCCAAGGGCCTCTCAGACCAGAAAAATCCCAAAAAACGTCAGGTAGGCTTTACGAAAGGCCCAAACAGGACGCGGGAAGAACGCGGGAAGGAACCGGGAAGGAACCGGGAACATGGCGGGAACATGGCGGGAACATGGCGGTAACGAAACGAGGAAAACCTATATATATATATATGAAAAACCTACAAAAACGAGGCCGGGAAGGAGCCGGGAAGGAGCCGGGAAGGAGCCGGGAACGAACCGGGAACGAACCGGGAACGAACCGGGAAGGTGGTGGGAAGGTTGAGGGAGGCTCCGAGGCTCCATTGAGACCTCCATTGGGCTTTCGGGAGGCCCCAAAACACCCTGCAGGACTCACGGGCTCAAAATTTCCGGTGGAAATCACCAGGTATGACAGTTTCAGGTTTTTTCCAAATTCTGAGGGCCCTTCGAAATCCTGGGGACCCTCAGCGCCCTTCGAGATCCCAGAGGACCCTTCGAAATCGCAGGCCCTTCAAAATCACAAGCCCTTTCAGGCCCGTCTTGCACATCATGAGTCTCCCAGGGTCCTGCGTCCTATAGTGCGCATCCACGTATCAATCCATCCAGCACCAGAGATTGCAGCATGCATCATAGCAAACATCATCAGTAGTCAGTTTGACTCAATGTTTCGACCTGCGTTTTTCAAGAGCTCAGTGCTCTTAGCATTCGCATGCGCTTCCTGCACTTGTGCCGTTGTGATGGGAAAGAGAGGTCGTCCAGCAAGCCCGCCATCTGCAACATTCAGATGGGAGACGAGTGCTAGTTCTAATCCTTCTGAGCGGAAAAAACAATGCGTCAGTGAAGAAGCCAGTGAAGATTTGGAGAGGCACCTTTTGCATCTCTATGCATCAGCTCGCATGGACGCGAAGGCTCTCTGCATCGTATCAGACAAAATCATTAAAGCTGGCGGCGAAGGATCGAACATAAAAAAATGGGCCTTCGCAGAGGGGAAAAGCACTGGCAGCTACAAAAAACACTTAGACAGAGTGCTTCCAAAGACAGCAGCAATACCAGAGTTCGGGACGGTGGGGGTGCCAGCATATCTTAGAGGAGAGCGCAGAACAAAACAAGTGCCTGTTGTTTCTGTACACGAAGTTTTGGAAGCAGAATTCGTCAAAGGGACTTTGACGGAAGCAGAACCAACAGTTGTGGGAGAATTGTCTGATTGGACTGCAGCGTTCAGGGACCACCCTAAACGCATTGTGCCAGGGGATGAACGCCCGATCATCCCACTGGCGTTCTACTTGGACGGAGTCCGCTTTACTAGGACACTAGGTGCAGGCCGCGTTGATACAGCCCTCGGGTTTTGGTGTCATTCGCTCACGTCGCATAGGAGACATCTACTTGCAGTCTTGTCAAAAAGAGAAGGCTGCAAATGTGGCTGCCGTGGCCACTGCAGCAGATGGCCGATTTTCAAATATTTGGCTTGGTCTTTTTCTTGCGCTGCAGATGGGCTCCGCCCTGCAATGACTTGGGATGGGAGGCCCTGGCCAGCAGAGTCAGTGTGCGGTCGCCTTCACGCGGAGAGCCCTCGCTTGTCAGCGAGGTTCATCCTGGTCCAGATCAAGGGTGATTGGTCAGAGTACAGCTCAAGTTTGGGATTTCCATCGTGGGCCAGCGTTTCTCACCCCTGTTGCTTTTGCAATAGTTCAAAACATGAGTTGCACAATTACGACAATGTCACTTTGAGTGGGCATTCTTGGGGGAGAAAAAAAAACAACTGGTATGAGGCCGCATGCCGCATGTGCGAAGTTAATATTGTGCTATACGATTCCGATGTTAGAAATGAGTTGTTCGAAATTGGTGGCCTTCACTGTGATCCCAAGAAAGAGGCGCTAGGTAGAGTACTCCAGTACGACGTACCTAACCTAGGATTGAAGAAGGGGGACAGGCTCGAACCATCGGAAAGCTTGCCAGATACGTTTGCCCTGGAGGAAGCTGTCTTGCCTATCACGGTCATCTTCTGGAGGCGGCACTACGACGACCATCGTAGGTGCATAGATGCAGTAGTCCGCCGATGCCCCTTGTTTGACGTGCCTGGCGTCTCCCCTAATAGCATCCACATCGATGCCCTTCACACTGTATATCTGGGCGTTTACATGCGGTACGTCATGGAAGTCATTTGGGCGTTTGTGAAAGAGAATCCGCTCAAGTTGAGCGGGGGTCTGGATGCATTAAAAGATCACTGTTGCCGTCGCCTCTTCGCTGACCTACGGGTGTGGTATGCAAGGAACAACGTTGAGCAATCAATGCAATTGCAAACACTTAGTGAGAGTATGATTGGGGGCAGGAAGCGCCCAGACCTCAAAACAAAAGCAGCAGAAACAGGAGTGCTCATAGGGTGGGCGCGGGATCTCTGCTCACGGTACGCCGACAAACTGCAGTTCGGCGAAGAGTTGGAGGCAGCAGGTGCGGCACTCCTTGAATGGAAAAACACAGTAAAAGACAGCCCACGAGAGATCCCCAGGCCCACGCGGGCCAGGTTGCTGGAGATCAGCCTTCGGCACAACGAGCTAATGAAACAAGCTGGAGTCGAACTGCAGCCAAAGCACCACATGTTCATTGAATTGAACATTCGAATGCATTGGCGCGGCAATCCTTCTTTTTATTCGTGCTTTTTGGACGAGTCGCTTAACGCAACTCTCGCAGATATCGCAGGCGGCGCCCACAGGGCCACGTGGGAGAAGTCAATTTTTGATCGTTTGCGCATCCTTCCAACTGTGGAGACCAGGTCGTACTTTGCCAAGTTGTGATCAACATCATCTTCATCAACACCAGCATCAACTAACATCAGCATCAACAACATCACCATCACAATGATATATGGCCAGGCAATTTGCAAACAACTGGAAAGCGTCTGTACTTCTGGCGTGCCTGTCTGCACCCTCCCCCCCTTCTCACTTTCACCCTTCTCATTCTCTCTGGTCACCCCCTGCCGTCTTCAATTTCAGTCAACTCGATTTCAAGTTCTGTTCATTCTTGCGTCCTCCCTGTTCTCCCGCGCCCACCTGGATCGCAAGATGCAGAGCTGCGCCTTGTCGAATACGTTCGGGTTTGCCAAATGCAAAGCGGAACTCTTGAAGGGCAACTTTGGGGGCCGTGCGGACAGTCCCAGACTCGGATCTAGTATCTAGGCAGTAAGGGCTTCTACCGAGCGCGCGTAGGGGGGCGGGGGGGGGGGGGTAATGAGACGCCCTTCCAGGTCGCCCGATGGCCACCCCTGCCCACGAAGCGGTCTGAGTTCGTGGGCTCTTGGGGGCAACTGTTGACCTCAAGGAGCCAGGGGCCTCAATTGTCGGCAATGGCAACCTTGGAAACCACTCCCGCATCCTCCGCCAACATCCTGTGGGAAAACACAAACACCAAACCGTCATCCGTTTAGTTCTTGGCGTCCTGGCTCAGATCGCCGCGTGCCCCAGGGGAGACTTCAGAAACGCAAGTGTGACCTCCAGAGGCTCATCCAAAATCCCACCAGCCCTCTGGGCGTAGGTGGTGCAGGGAGTTTCCTTTTCCATCTGTCCTTCTTCCCCTTCGGGTGGGGGTTTGCCCCTTATAACCCCCTCCCCGGGACCTGGACGGGGGGGTTCGCTGGTAGCTGGGAGCGCCCAAGATGGCCCAAGATGGTTCCAAGAGGGCCTCGGAGAGTCCAAGATGACCTCCAAGGTGGCTCAAGGCAGCCCGCGACGCCTCAAGATGGCCCCGAGGATGCTCCAGAAGGCCCCAAGACCAACCCAAGACGACTCCAATTGGCCACGTAGCCTCCCAAGGAGGCCCCCCAAGAGGCCAAAATGGCACCAAAACCTAAGGCAAATCAATGTGTTGCTGTCTCGCCTTTTTCGCTTCCGATGGCCATTCGAGGACCCAAGATGGTTCCAAGAGGGCCCAAGAGAGGCCCACTATGGCCCCAAGACGGCCCTAAGAGCGCCCAAGAGCGCTCCAAGAACGTCCCAAACGGGGTCCAAGAATTGATTTTAGAGGCTCCCGAGGGGGGACGCTAATTGGGGGGCCCCCTTCCTTTGATCGATCACCTCCAAGATGGCCCCAAGAGCGCTCCCAAGGCTCCCAAGAGCGCCCCAAGAGGGCCTCAAGAGGCGCCCAGGAGGCCCCAAGAGGCCCCCAAGAGGCCCTCAAGAGGCTCCCTAGACCCCCGAGAGGCCTCAAGAGGATCCCCGAGGCATCCAAGAATCCCCCAGGCGCTCCAAGAGGACCCCAAAACAACTTCCAAGGGACTCCCTAGGAGGCTCTTGTGCACGTCACTGTATTTGTTCCTTCTCATATTTCTCCTCCTCCTCCTCCTCCTCCTCCTCCTCCTTGTCGGCCTACTCCTCCTCCTTCTCCACTTTATCAGCCTCATCCTCCTCCTCCTCCTCCTTTCCTCTTCTCTTCCTCCCCCTCCTCATCCTCCCCCTCCTCCCCCTCCTCCTCATCATCCGCCTATTCCCCCTCCTCCCTCCTCCATCCTCCCACTTTTCCCACCTGCTGTCCCTCCTCCCCCTCCTCCTCCTCCTCCTCCTCCTCCTCCTCATCCTCCTCCGACTCCTCCTCCATCCTCGCCCTCGTGGGTAAGACTGCCCCCCGAGCTCTTTGCTACTCTGCATGCTCCCACACGTCCCTGATCACCGCAATTCGCCTGGGCATCGTTTTCGGATGGGCTGGTGGGGATGCGCGAAGCGTCGAGAATTGCTGACCAACTTGCCAGACCCTGTTGACCGCTTTCAGGGCTCATCTGCAAGAAGGCGTGACGTTTTCAGACATAGTTGAACCTTCGCCCATCTTGAACTATGCGTTGCCAGGTGAGCGTGCATTTGCTTTCGGCTCAGACTGTACTATATTGTGGTCTCCGCTGTCAGGGCGATGGGGAAATGCCCGAGAGCCAGGGAACCTCTGGATGCTGATTGGCAGGACGTTGGCACTCAGGCTGGAGGGCTGGAGGGGGAGGGGAAGGAGGAGGAGGAGGGGGAGGAGGAGGTGGAGGAGGAGGAGGAGGAGGAGGAGGAGGAGGGGGAGGAGGAGGAGGAGGAGGAGGAGGAGGAGGAGGAGGAGGACGGCCCTAGATCTTGCGCGGCGTGAAGGGCAATATCACGCTACTCCAATCTGCTTTCGCAAGCAGCCCGCCGACCACCAAGAAAGGAGGGGGGGGCATCCGCGAACCTTGCGGGCGAACACATGTCAAAACAATGAATACGAGCGGGTGGCAAGACTACGAATAAGACTACCCAGGGCATAATACGCGAGGGTGCGACAAATCAAATGAGAAAATGCGAACGGGCAGAGGAGGGGAGAACGGGGCAGAACGAACAAGATGACAGATTGGTTGCGAAGTACAGTGAGATAGAAAGAGCATTGGGGGCAAACGCCAACTGGAGAGATGAGAGGGCCACCGACGGACGGACACATAAAAGATGAAGTGGGCCGTTCCTGGAGAGGTAGCCTCATAATGACGTCCCAAGGTTTGGAAGCTTTGATCGGGATGGGGAGGCCGAGGATAGAGGGGATAATGGCTCACAAAGGTGCAGGGATTAGGAAGACATGGGCACGACCTCGACGGGGAAACTGAGGACTCGTGCGAGAGGAAGGATGGATAGAGGAAGGGAGGTGAAGGGAGGAGGGGGAAGGAGGCAGGGAAAGAGGTTTGAACCAACGCGACGTCATACGCCTAAGTGCCAACTGTTGTGCTGGTGTGCGTATCAGTCCCTGTTGTGGGCTAGACGCTGCCAAACTCGTGCTAGACGAGCTAGGGTTCGACACGCGTGCTCTTTCTTGGGATGTCGAAGGGTCCTTGCGCTCGCACGTGGAGTTTATCCACAAGGGCTCCGAGGGCGTATTCGTTGGAAGAACTGCGGGTGACTTCACGGAGGCCACGTGGTGGCCAACCCCACCTAACCCCACCCCCAAGAATCCGACAACAAAAAACCGTTTACGCAAATGGAATACCGACTGAAGACCAACGCGATCACTAAGAAAGGGCTTGGGGGTGGGGCCAGGGGACGACCACCAGAGGTCGACTTACGATCGTTGCCTGACGCAGATGTGATCAGCACGGGGCCCAGCTGCGTACCTTTTAGTCGAGTCGGAAGCCAGCTTGGGCTTGACGACAGCAGGAGCAACGCCTTCAAACACATTCTCGAATGCATACGTGACCAGGCTGGCCGCAAACTCCTGGCTTTCCTGATTGAGAATGTCCTCGGCTTCAGCGACAATGTCCATGGGACCAGCCCCCTCAATTTCACGACGAAATGGTTGCAGGACCACGTTGGAGACCGCTTCGAGGTGTGGTCGTGGAAACTACAGGCTCGGGATCACGGGTTGCCCCAGGACACTGTTTTTCTATTTTTTTTTGCTGCTTCGCAGTGGGATCCCGATCGGCCAATCGTGGCGTTCCTTTCGAAGCCTGATCGTTCGAAGTCCGATCGTTCGTTGGCAAGTTCTGTTGATTCGCTCAGCGGGCACAGGGGGCGTCTCACATAAGACACGGCATCCAGAATCGTGTTCGGCACTACGTGTGTGGGAGAAGGAGGGCTGTCTTCTCTTCGCCGATGCCTTGCGTATCGCCGCTCGACATCACACTCGCCCCGATGCACCTCAGGCAGATCTTGGACCCGAAGACCCCCTCCGATACGGACCGCTTAACTGACAAGATGCGTGAAAACTTGGAATGGTACTTGGAAGCGGCGAGGAAAAAGTCGCACGCACGTGCGGCAGTTTTGGTGTGCGACCTTTCCAGGGCCCCCAACAAGGTGAGGGACCCCGTCTTCAATATCGACTACACGGCTACGATCACAACAAAAAATATTCATCTCTGGGCTGCTGGACTTTCTGAGGACCTCCCACAATTCAATAGGTTCATCACAGTGGCCGAAAAAGCAGCACTCATGGGATGGAGAACGGAGCTTCCAACGCGGTTTCAGAATTCAAGGGATGCGCTGACAGCTGTAGGCAACGGGATGGCCGTTCCGTGCGTAGGGCTCGCTACTGCGTGCTTGCTCTCAGGTCTTCTGTCAGATTCGTTGCAGCGATAGTTTCCAGTTTCGCTCGACTTGCGCATTTGCGGGGATATGCACTTGAACCGGCTGGATGGCGACTAGGAGGAAACATGAGGGAGAAAGGAGGAGGGAGTGAGGAGGGAGGGAGAAAGCAAGAAAGAGGGAGGAGGAGGAGTACGGATGAGAGAATTTGGACGGACGGGTGAGAGAGGGAAGAGAGAGGGCCGATGGCGGAGAGTGACAAAACACCCCAGGACACCAGGCCCAAACAACTATCAGTATCCAGAGTGGACGTCGACTGAAGGATGCAAGCTCTCACTTAAGAGGTTCGGATACAAGTAGCACGTACAATCGAATCGCAATTGCGGCGTCCTCCTCCTCCTCCTCCTCCTCGTCCTCCTCCTCCTCCTCCTCATTATTATCTTTTTCCTTTTCCTACTTCCTTTTCCCCCTCCCTCCCCTCTGATCGTCCTTCTCATCCTTCCCGCCACTCTTCTCTCATCCTCCTCATCCTCCTCCTCCTCCTCCCTACTCTTCCTCTTCCTCCTCTTCCTCCTCCCCCCTCCCCTCGTACCCCTCTGAAGGGCGACGACGTCTGCAGAGTGGAGCACCGACGTTTTGTAGGAACAACTGGCGGCAACCCATCACTCCTATCAGCAGTTGCCGCAAAGAAGCGAAACCCTCTGGCCACGAAACACTCCAGCTCGCAAAAAGAAACAATGAAAATCTAGTAAGCAACGCGATACGCAACCTCCCTATTCGCTCCTGGAGGCGTTGCTGATGCAAAGGGCACCTCCCAGAAACTATCAACGACCATTCCCCCCCCCGCTCCCCCTTCCCGACCGCGCTGAAACAACCAAAGGTTCCCTTGTGCGACACCAGCAAAAACACAGGCGATATTCACGTGAACAAACCTGCTTGGCCGCGTGGCTGAAGTGAGGACCCACGTCGCGCATCAGCGTTGAGATGCTGTCGCTCCGGCCACACGACACGCTTCGCTACTTATTCACAACTCGCTTCGCGACCTCACCAACGAACCCGAGACCAGCCCGTGATCCGCCGACGACACGCGACCAACCCAGCAACAAATCGAATGATTAACGTCAGGGCCGATAAACGCGAAATTTGACTTAAGCCATCGCATGTATCATGTGCTGCGGCTCTGGCCTGGACGGGACAATCGAGTTAACCACGCGCAAGCGCTGATATATAGAAACGCGCACAATCTGTTCTGATGGTTCCTTTGTTGTTTATTTTTCGAACCAACTCTCTACCACCACCTCTACCATCGCGATAGTCCCATTCCTCATGTTACGGACGGGTTTGCTAAACGGCGCGCTGCCTATCGACCAAATGGGATGCATCGCGCTGCCCGTAACTCCAACAGATTGACCCATGCATGCGGGTCACGCAAACACCCACTCATATTATGTTTTTCGATGTTAAGGCACGTACGTTTCGCAATGCTCTTGCCAGGGCCACCATCGCACACCGCGCGCGGTGAAAACTTGGCCGCGGAAGCCGCCACCATTTTGACAAACAATACAAACAAACAAAAAAATCGCGAATGAAGGTCCTGAACCGTGCGACTGGGCGCGCGTTTCAAACCATGCGCTAGTTTACTGCGCCAGCGTCGCGTAACAAACATTGGCGCAAATTCATACATTGTTTCGCCACAGTGCAGATTAAATGTGGCACGGCTGTGATCATATCAAACTACGTAATTGCTAAGATGCTAAGTTGCTAAGTTGCTTTAGCGCAGATGCTGCTTCTTGGCATCTGGGACCCTCTGGGTGGCTGCCCGACATTCCCCGGGGACTCCGAGATTGGCACGCTCTTCAAGATCATGCAGCTGCTGGGCTCCCCCACGGAGGCCACCTGGCCAGGCTTCGAGACCAGCCTGCCGCTCTGGAGCCCCCTGTACCCGAGCTGGCCGCCCACTGGCCTCGAGACGATACGCGACCAGCGCCCAGAGCTCGGCGACGTTGGGATGGACCTGGTCCGCTCCCTGCTGACCATGAACCCCGCGGCCCGGCCGACCGCCCGGAAGGCCAAGGCCCACGCCTGCTTCTCGCGGCCCGGCTCCGCTCCGCCGAGGGGCGTCCCGTCCTCATGATGGGCACCCGCGCCTGCGCGCAGGCTTGGCGCCGACGGTCAGCATGACCGTCCGCGAGGTTGCCGCTCGGGCTCACACGGCAGCCAGGCGATCCTCTTCCCGGTGGTGTGCAGAGCTGCCTGAGCACATGCCATCTTATCCGCTCTGTGGGTTCGACATTTTCTGGGCATGCATGGGCACGTCCCTTCTTCTGCTCAAAGTTTTTTGTTTTTGTCCCAACCATCCTGTGGTGTTGGGTCCTCGTTTTGAAGAGACAGCGCCCCGCGTTCCCTCCTCCTCCCGCTGCCCCCTCCCTCCTCCCATCATCGTCATCATCATCGTCATCGTGATCGTCGTTATCATCATCCTCATCACCATTCGTCCTCATCACCATCATCGTCATCATCATCGTCACCATTATCGTCATCAGCTTCGGCACACCCCTCACACGTGTCCCAGTGCCACCGTCCACATGCGTCACCCCCACCCACTTCGGCACACTCCTCACACGTTTCGTGGCCCCATAGGGAGCTCCACCGAAGGCCCCAGTGCCACCGTCCACATGCGTCACCCCCACCCATTTCGGCACACCCCTCACGTTTCGTGGCCCCATAGGGAGCTCCACCGAAGGCCCCAGTGCCACCGTCCACATGCGTCACCCCCACCCACTTCGGCACACCCCTCACACGTTTCGTGGCCCCATAGGGATCTCCGCCGAAGGCCCCAGTGCCACCGTCCACATGCGTCACCCCCACCCACTTCGTCACACCCCTCACACGTTTCGTGGCCCCATAGGGAGCTCCACCGAAGGCCCCACTGCCACCGTCCACATGCGTCACCCCCACCCACTTCGGCACACCCCTCAAACGTTTCGTGGCCCCATAGGGAGCCCCACCGAAGGCCCCAGTGCCACCGTCCACATGCGTCCCCCCACCCACTTCGGCACACACCCTCACACGTTTCGTGGCCCCATAGGGAGCTCCACCGAAGGCCCCTGCCACCGTCACATGCGTTCACGCCCCACCCACTTCAGCACACCCCTCACACGTTTCGTGGCCCCATAGGGAGCTCCACCGAAGGCCCCAGTGCCACCGTCCCCATGCGTCACCCCGCGCCCCCTCGGCACACCCCTCACACGTTTCGTGGCCCCACAGGGAGCTCCACCGAAGGCCCCAGTGCCACCGTCCACATGCGTCACCCGCACCCACTTCGGCACACCCCTCACACGTTTCGTGGCCCCATAGGGAGCTCCACCGAAGGCCCCAGTGCCACCGTCCACATACGTCATCCCCACCCACTTCGGCACACCCCTCACACGTTTCGTGGCCCCATATGGAGCTCCACCGAAGGCCCCAGTGCCACCGTCCACATGCGTCACCCCCACCCACTTCGGCACACCCCTCACACGTTTCGTGGCCCCACAGGGAGCTCCACCAAAGATGATATTTATTATTGCGTTATTCACAACTGCATATGGTTGGGTCCTTCGCCAGGCTAATTCAAGTATCTCATTTCACGCATCAGCCAGTCTCGTCACACGAAGTGGGGCGGCAACAACGGAACCTACGTTGGATTCGAATTGGGCTGAATTATATTGTTCCAGTTCGAGTTGTCACGCGTGATGACACACTATCTTTTGGACGTTTCGTGACCATCCACTCTGTAAGATCTCGGATGAGTTGCACTTTGCTGCCCCAGCACGGACTTCCAGTTGTGTAAATAGGCAAACGTGTTGGCTTGGCAAAGTGCGCCGTCTCAGTCCAAGGGGTGCATCGGACTGGAGGCCCGACGCAGCCTGAGGGCCAATGATATCAATTATCAGGGTCCCCGCGCAGGCAGTGCAGCTGCTGCACTTGCCAGGCGAGCGGCTCCTGCGGAGCTGCAGCTTCCGTCCTCCCGACTTCCTCGCCGATGGCTGTGGGAGGGAGTTCCGTGGGAAGCGGTCGCTTGTAGATGTGGGTGGATTAGGAGGAGGAGGAGGAGGAGGAGGAGGAGGAGGAAGTGGGTGGAGTGGTGTAACTAATGAGTGTCGGAGGGCAGGCTTGCGAAGATCAGTTCCAGGCGTTGCTGCACTGCGTGCTGCTTGCTTTCCTGCGCTGCACTCCGCAGCCTTACGCTTGTCAGCTCCGCTCGCCGTGGTGGGTCTCTCGTGGCCCTGGCTTTCGTTTTTTCGTTTCGACGTCGGTCCCTGCACGTTGCCATGTGCGCTCTGGAAGCTAGCGCTTGACTCTAGCCCGCGTCCAAGCAATTGATTATGATGAGCAGCTGCGCAGCTCGAGATTTTTTTTATCTCCCTCATCTTCTTCACCCTCGTCTCCGCCTCCCCCTCCCTCCTCCCCGAAGCCCAGCATGAGGCCCGGGCCCCTTGAAGGCTGTCCCAATATCTTGGCGGCGGCTCTCTTCAACGCGCCTGGGTATATGCTGATGAACTTTGCTGCATACATAAGAACTGAGCGCTTGAATTCGTGGGAAAAAGAAGGCCTCCACTCACCGCTGCTCGTTGGCAGCTCGGGGGGTGAGTCAGGGCCGCTCGATGTCACCAAGCACGGCTCGGGGCATGTGCGCAGCAGCCGGTCCAACCAACGCACTTTGGCCGGCTGGATGTCCACGAGCGCTCGTTCGCCCAGCCGGAGTCTGGCCCAGCCAGGGCCTGCATCCGGGCATCCGGGGCCACTCTACGCCGCTCGTGGGCTGCCCGGGCCTCCACCTGGCTCGCTGCTGGTCGCCAGACGGCTCGGGGGCCCCCGGGCGGTGCGGTGACCAGGCTGCCGGGTTGAGGCGATGGGCTTTTTCAAGCAGTGGCGAAGCGTCCTGGCTCGCCTGTAGCCCTACAGCAAGCCATGTTCTAAGAGCTCTTTGTGGCTTCCACGAACTGTTCTCAGAACATGTCTGGCGGAGTCTGTCTTGGCTTATCACATCGGGCTCATGTTGTAAGAACATTGTTTGTGCTCTTCGAACACTTTCGGGTTCTGGGAACATGTCGTGGTAGGGCTATAGGAATGCCTGGACGGTCGGTCTCTGCTCAAGTTTTCGGACGCTGTCGTCGGCTCTCGGGGGCTTCCATATCCTCGGGATGCTCCCCGGCAGCTGCACCCCGCCTGGGGGCGCTTTCTGGGGGCGCGCGCGCTCGTCCCCGAGCGGCCGCTGGAGACCCGAGCTGATGGCCCAGGAGACCCGAACACTGGGAGCGCAGCTCTTGCATCGGCGTCCCCCAAGCATTCAGGAGGAGAAAAAACACACAGACACAATTCATCGCCGATTCCCCCGAAAATGTGAGAAAATATGGGAAGTGTGGGGGGGGGAACACAAAAACCCAGAAAATATAAGAAAATATGGGGAATCATTTTATTTGTGTGTATTGATTTGTGTGTCCCAGGGTCCCTTCACATAAGCCGAACATTGGGAGCGCAGTTCTTGCATCGGCGTCCCCCAAACATACTATGATGTGCGCGTCGTCCCCAATGGGGCGACGCGCGCGCCGAGCAATCTTATGGCATGAACCCTGTGGCGGGTGCTTTCTGGCCGTACCGCTCGGGAAACGATACACTACAAGGTGGTTGCGGCCAAGTTTGGGTCAACCGCACGCCTCCGAGGAGGACACATAGCTTAGAGGAGGAACAACAACTGCATAAACATAGACTTTTGATGGTCCGCGCGGAATTCTTGGGTTGAGCTGGAACCCACTCCTTGGCGCGCGGAGCGCGCCAGGAGCGGCGCCGGAGGCGCCGCCAGGGTGGCCCCAGCGCAGATCCAAGAAATCCGCGCGGAGCACCAAAACAGAAACAGTTATGTATATGCTGTTCTTCGATCTTCCATTGTGCTAGAGAGTCCTTCTGTGTCCGATTTCATACGTTTGAGGGAACAAATTAAGCAACAATTTCCCCTCCCCCCCGCAATTCGAAGTTGGTACGTATGCGCATCACTGGTCCGACGCTCAGACTCGGGAAATCCGAGCCCAACATTGCATTCGGGGGGAGGGGGAGGGAGTTCACACCATCTGTTATGCATGGGTGTTGCTGAATTGCTTCCGACACCTGTATCGTTTCGTGTCAAATCCATGGAGCCCTTGTGCGACCAATGATTCAATCTTTTCCGCCTATTACCGCCATTACCGTTCACAATCGTCGAATACAGTCTGCTACCATATGCCGCTGGGTTCCCGGGTTCCCGGTTCCGGGTTCTCGAGCACCCGGTGCCGGGTTCCAGGCCGATTTCGCTGGGCGGCGGAGTTCAGGGTTTCCGGGTTCCTGGGTTCCTGGTCTATCTCTTTATCGATTGGTCTCACCATCGATTTCATCACCCACCTATCGATCTCACTATCGATCTCATTATACCAGAGAAAATCCAAATCAGTGGATGGTTTGAAGGTTAATGATATGGACACTGAGATCGATTGTAGGATCGATAGTGGGATAGAAAGTGGGATCGATAGTGAGGACGATAGTAAGGCCGATCGTGAGACTGATAGTGAAGTCGATCCAGTGAGATCGAGAGTGAGATCGATCGTGCGATCTCTAGTTAGATCGATTGTGAGATCGATAGTCAGATCGATTATTCCCCAATCCGTGCTAGCTCTGAAGGGGTCCTAGCGGATTTTGAAGGATTTGGCGAAAGTTGGCGGCCGATTTCGGTAGGCTGCCGGATTCCCCGGTTCCTGGTTCCTGGGTTCCCGGTTCCGGGTTCCAGGCCGATTTCTCTGGGCGGCGGGGTTCCCCAGGGTCCCGGGTTCCTGGTCGATCTCATTATCGATCGGTCTCACTATCGATCTCATTAGCCACCTCTCTATCGACCTCATTTTCGATTTCACAATCGATTTGATTATCGATCTCACAATCGATCTAACTAGAGATCGCACGGGCGATCTCACGATCGATCTCACTCTCGATCTCACTGAATCAACTTCGCTATCAGTCTCACGATCGGTCTTACTATCGTTTTCACTATCGATCCCACTTTCGATCCTACAGTCGGTCTCAATGTCCATATTACAAATTTTCAAATCATCCACTGATTGGGATAAT